CGGACAAGTCCCTCCCTCCCCCCCTACTCCCCCCCCCCCCTACCCCCCCCCCAACCTCCTCCCCCCTACCCCCCCTACCCCCCCTGCCCCCCTCCACTCACCCTCCTCCACTCCATCCCACCACCGTAGGAGGTGACTAGCCCGTTTGCTGTGTTTGGCGTCCCGCTGGCCCAGTCGCTCTCCAATGCCGGTCAGGCGCCCAACGAGGTGCCGGCTGTGGTTGATGCTGCCATCACAGCGCTGCTGGCGCTGCCGAGCCTGCCGGACGGGTTCAGCATTTCGCTGTCAAACGATTACCAGAGCGTGCAGAACGTGCGGATGCAGGCCGATGATTGCGAGAGCCCGGAGCTGTCGGGCCTCTCGGCGAGCGAGCTCGTCGACGTGGTGCGGATGTTTGTCTCCGCGCTGCCGGCGGCGCTCATTCCAGCCGACACGGCCAAAGCCATGATTTTGCTAACGACGACGGCGCCGTCGACCGGCCGCGCCGACAAGTACCGCTACCTGCTGGGCACGCTGGCACCTGCGGAGCGGGCGCTGCTGACGCGGATCCTGGAAGCCATCCGCCGGATGGTCAAGGCGCCTGGCGTGAGCATGGCCAACGCGGTGGCCGCCTTTGGCCCGGCCTTTATCCGGGATCCCGAGTCGAGTACACTGTCCAAGCTCCGGCTCGATGCACTGCAGCCGCTGGTTGCGGTTCTCGCCGGCGAGTACGCGTCGCTCTTCTCGACGCCGGTAGAGGGCTCGGTTGAGTACGTGTCGTTTGGGGTGACGCGTGCGACGCTTGTTCCGTTCTCGAGCTCTTTTCTGGCGGCCGACGCGTCAGACGTGGTGTTCATCATGCGGCAGGCCGGCAACGCGCCGCTGTGGTACGGTGAGTCGAGCTCGGGCGCCGGCCACTTTCCGCCGGCGGCCGTCCAGGTTGTGGGCTTCCTCCCGCCGCTGCACGGCTCGGCGGCGGCGGCGCCGCGCCCCAAGGCCGTGACCTCGAACGCCACGGCGCTCCGTGGCGCGCCGCTCACCATCTCCATCGGGGGCAAGACTGTGTACAACGGCGCCATCCAGCACTCGTCGGCGTTCAAGGAGGCCATGGCCTCGGCCTCGCCGTCGATCGCCATCACTCTTGTGACCGGCGAGACAACCTCGCTGCTCGCTGTCGGCGACAACGCAGTGCTCGAGCACAAGATGCGGCTGGTGGTTGAAGACTCGCTCCTCCACGCTGTCACCGCCATGGACCCGGCCATGCCTGCCGGCGCGGCTCTCTCGATCGCCGTCACCACCGAGGCCGGCCCATCGACTGTCCTCATGTACGTGCCCAAGGGCTCCAAGCTCGTGCACGTCAACGGGGCTCTGGCGACCGCGTTTGGCGTGCCGGCCGGCCTGTGCGAGACGACTGTCGGCGAGGTCTCGTCGACGACAGCCGGCGAGTCGGACGCGCTGCAGCTCGAGGCCGACGTGCCCGACGCCCAGTTTGCTTTTGCGGTGACCGGGCGGGCCGCGGCTGTCGAGCCTGCGGGCGCGTCAACAGCGACTGCGGCAGCGGGAGGTAGTGGCACGGGCGCGGGCGCAAGCGCGGCGGCAACGGGCGCAGGCGCAAGCGCGGCAAACAGCACGGGCGCCAGCAGCTCTGGCGCGAGCGCTGGCGGTGATGGCGGCGACGACGGCGGCGAGGCGACCTACGGCGGCGCGCCGATTATTCTCCAGATTTGGTTTCGCGAGGGCTCGTACAAGAAGCTCAAGTCGACGTCCGAGACGCCGTGCTTTGAGGTTGTGGCCAAGATTGCGTCGAACCGGGCGGCCAAGGCCGAGGCGTACACGCTTGCGCTTGTGGCGGCCAAGTCGGACACGCCGTTCAAGTACCTCGGCGACGAAGACCTGCCGTCGGCGGTGCTCAAGTCGAAGCCCGGCTCGCGGCTGATGTTTGTGCGCAAGCTGCAGCGGTCAGGCGACGCGGCCGTCAACGTCCGCGAGCTCAACCGCAAGTCGTCGGTCTCGATTGTGCAGGTCTTCTACGAGGATCACTACTCGTCGTTCCGGTGCTCGCCGGCAACGACAGCGGCCGAGCTGGCGGAGCAGGTCATGCGCAAGCCGGTCTTTGCCGGAAAGGACCTCTCGGCGTATGCGCTGTACGAAAAGGTGGGCGAGCTCCAGCGGCAGCTCGAGCCGTCGGAACTCCCGTCCGACCTCTTTACCAAGTACCAGAGCGAGGGCGTGGTCGTCCAGTTTGTGCTCCGTCACAAGACGCTCGAGCTCGGCGAGTATGCGTTCATCGAGGAGCGGACGCGGAAGGAGAAGGTCAAGCTCGAGGACTTTGACCTGCTCAAGGTCATCGGGCGCGGTGGATACGGCAAGGTCTGCCAGGTGCAGAAGAAGGACACCGGCGGCATCTACGCCATGAAGATCATCTCCAAGGCGTCGATTGTCAAGGAGAAGGACCTGCTCCACACCAAGGAGGAGCAGCGGATCCTGGCGTCGATCAAGCACCCGTTCCTCCTCCACCTACAGTACTCGTTCCAGACGCCCGAGAAGCTGTACCTGGTCATGGACTACATCAACGGCGGCGAGCTCTTCTTCCACCTCTCGAACGAGGGCTTCTTCCCCGAGGAGCAGGCCAAGTTCTACACGGCCGAACTCGTCCTCGCCCTCGACCACCTCCACTCGCACAACATCCTCTACCGTGACCTCAAGCCCGAGAACGTGCTCCTCGACGCCGAGGGCCACGTCCGGCTCTGTGACTTTGGCCTGTGCAAGGCCACGGCGTCGACGACCGGCACCCTCTGCGGCACGGCCGAGTATCTCGCGCCCGAGATGCTCAAGGGCGAGGGCTACGGGCCCGAGGTCGATTGGTGGGAGGTCGGCGTGCTCATGTACGAGATGCGGACCGGTGCCCCGCCGTTTGTGGCCGAAGAGGGCGAGTCACAGGTCGACCTCTTCCGCAAGGTCCTCTACTCGAACCCGCCGGTCGACCCGGCGGTGTTCTCGGACAACGCAGCCTCGCTTCTCCTCGGCCTCATGGAGAAGGACCCCTCCCAGCGGCTCGGCTCTAACTCAGTCGAGGACATCAAGAGCCATCCGTTCTTTGCCTGCTACGACTGGGACGCCCTTTACAACCGCCAGATCGAGCCGCCGTTCAAGCCCAACGTCGCCGACGCCTCGTCCACCGCCAACGTCGACGAGGAATTCCTCAACATGTCTGTCGCCGACACCCTTGTCGAGCCCTCGGAGCTGTCTTCGGTCGTCCAGGGCTCGGCCTTTGATGGCTTCTCCTACGTCGCCGACTCTGCCTTTAACAACTGATACCAATTATTCCCCCCCCCCCCCCCCCCTCCGTCGCGCGCGCGCATCTGTTGAAACATAGCCCACGCCAACCGCAGCAGTAGTCGCCCGCCGAGAAGCGAACCGTCGGCCGCCGCCCAACGTTTGTCCACTTTGCCACTTTGCCGACGTCACCTCACGGCACCGCCTCCCCCCCCCCCTCCCCCCCTCCCCCCTGCCTACCTAAAAATGACCTCCCTTCGCTCCTCGTCGGCAGCTCTTCCGCTCGCCCTCGTCCTCGCCCTCGCCCTCGTCCTCACCTTCGCCCTCGGGCCGCAGGCGGTGGCCGGCGGCGGCGGGCTGGATGACTTCAAGGAGATCGGCGACGGCATCGAGCGCATTCTCCGCGCACGGGAAGCCGCCAGCAGCGGAGGTGGAAGTGGAGCAGGACAGACACGGCGATCGCGGACCAAGACGACGACATCGAGCACGGACGATCACATCCGGCAGGCGCTGGGAGATCTGGGCCTCACCTCCGGCTGCGAGTTCCGCTGCCCCGGCGGGCTCAAGTACTCGGCCAGGCCCAATCACACGCCAGAGGCCAACGGATGTGGGACGGGCCCGATGCGGGTGCCAGAGACGCTGGTCGATTTTACGCCCTGCTGCAACGAGCACGATGTGTGCTACCACACCTGCGGATCGTCCAAGGCTGCCTGTGACAACGAGTTTACCGCCTGCATGGACAGCCTTTGCCACTCATCGGGCCTCTCCGAGTCGGACGTCGGCATCTGCCACGCCCAGGGCCGCATCTTTGGTCTTGCCGTCGCCTACGGGGGCTGCACCCCATACCTCGACTCGCAGGGCGACGCGTGCCTCTGCCACAACCCCGAGGACGCGTACAAGGGCGATCTGTAGTGTGGACCATGACCACCCAGGTGATGCGTGATACGCACACACACACGCGCGCACATACACACACACGCGCACACACAGACGGGTAAACACACAACTCGCACGTGCAATCACATCACCGTGCTCCAGCCGCTGCCCCCCCCCCCCCCCCCCCCCCTCCCGCTGTCGCTCCCCGCCCCAGCCACCGCCCCACCCCTCTCCCGCCCGCCCTCCACCGCCATGGCTACCAGCGGGATGGACGACCTCTATGAGGTGTTCCCAGACTTCCAGCCGACCCCATCCCGAGCCGCCCGAACGACGCCCAAAGCCAGCCCGTCCTCGCCGTCCTCGCCTCGGCCCGGCCGTTCATCTGGTGCCAGCTCGGTAGCCACTCTGGCCAAATCGCGCTCGCTGGCTCGGCGTCGGGAGGCCGCCCGTGGCACCGCACGACTCTCGGCGCATGATCGGCTATACCGTGCCGGAAGGGAAGCCATTTCACGCCGGGCGCATATGGATGCCCTTGCCTCGGGGCCGCCAAAGACCCTCACGGCTCGTGCATCGTCGCTCTCATCGTCGCCGCACAAGTCGCCATCGCCGCACAAGTCGCCGTCGCACCGCCCCTCCTCGCCTTCACACCCGCAGACGGGTGGCATACATCTGGATGGCCTGTCACCGGCCGATGAGGCTTCGTTCAAGGTCTTTGTCCACTCGCCAGACGGACGCCCGGCAAAGGTCGAGGTCGAGAAGGCCAAGAACGAGTACAGAGCACTCAAGGACGAGCTGGATCACCACGGTGGCTCGGTCTCCCGCCTGGCGCGGGCTATTGCCGACCAGACGGCCGAAATCGAGGAGATTGAGGCCGGCATTGCCGCCAACAAGGGCGTTGTCACCTCGTTGAGCGCAGATCTCAACGAGCTGCACGGCGATCCGGCTGCCGTGCTCAAGGTCGAGCGGACCGAGGACGCGTTGGCGGACGCCCAGGACGAGCTCGCCGATCGCGAGGCCGAGCTGCGGAGCGCCCGCGTCGAGCTGACAAAGTTCAAGCGCGAGTACAAGCTTGTCCGTGCCAAGCTCGACGTCGGTCTTGCACGCAAAGACCAGCTCAAGGCCCACATCGGATCGCTCCACGCTGAGTTGTACGAGGCGTGGAAGGCGTGGGATGAGGCCAACACCGCCGCAGGTATCCCGGCCCCGCTCGCGGCGGGCACCGTCCGCATTGCAGGCGCCGCCCCACGCAGGTCTCGGCGTCGGGCAAACGACCCTCACCCGGATGCTGCCTACCGCCAGCTCTTTGACGTCCGCGGCACCGGCGTTGTCACGCTCGACGAGCTCATGCAAGTTCTTGACACCATCGGCGCCCGCACCGCGGGCCGCGACGAGGTCGCTGCTCTCTTCCAGCGATACACCGCACGCGACGGCACCATCGACGTCCGCGACATCCTTGCTGTTATTCTGCACGACTCTTAGCGCTCACTGGCGCGACCCGACTGCCAGGGCGCGCACGTCGCCCGCGGCCTGTCCGCGCATGAACGGACACCGTGACCGGAATGTCCGGCATGGAATCATTGTTGTTGGTCTTGTCGACCGGGTGGACCCTCCGCCTCGCATCGGGCGCCCCTCCCACCTCAAGCCGCAGGCCAAGCAGGCGTCGCGCAGCGTCGGCCGGAGACCTGGAAGTCAAGCATCATCGAGTTGTTCACTTGGAGACGCGCGACAGCGCGTCCGCACGGCCGTACCGTTAAGGGTTAACAGCCAAGTCACTACTCGTCGATGCGGACCGGGAGCGAGGCCTTGATCAGGTCGCCTGCGTCGCCGGGACGGGCAGCCATGGCGGCGTTGTAGGCCGCAGCGGCTGCGGAGCCGGCATCGCCGAGGGTTGGCGGGGCATAGGTAAAGTCAGAGGCGAGGCCGACGTAGCCGGTGCCGTAGACAACTTCGATGGACGAGAGGGTGATGCCCGAGACGACCGGGATGGGGAAGCCGACGCCAAGGACCTTGTTGATCCAGGGAACGAGGCCCTTGGAGACGGCTAGGTTGACGAGGGCGTCGAGGAGCTGGACGTTAAAGTTGCCGATGGGCGCAGTGGTGTTGGCCAGCGAGAGGTTGCAGCCGACGTACGAGACCTGGGCGGTGATGTTGTTGGCCGAGACGGCGACCTTGCCGGTGCCAAAAAGGTGGAGGCCAAGAGTAAAGGCGTAGATGCGCGGCTGGCCGGCGGGGAGGACGTAGACGGCAACGTTGCCGAGCACGTCGCACGTTGCGCCGTCGGGCGAAATGGCGGCGTTGGGCGTGGCGTTGGCGGCGAGCTCAAACTCGACCTTCATGTCCGGATACGCCTTGTACAGCGCCGGGAGAAGGAACCGCATCGACGTGGTGTTGAGCGAGACGGGCGACCAGGACGGGAGCTCGTTGACGGTGGTGTGGAGAGCGCCGGCCTTAAAGTAGACGTAGCCAGCCGAGAGCGCCACGTCCTCCGAGAAGACAAGGTTGATCTCGTCGGCGGCGTCGACAGTGGTCGGGAGCTTGACTGGAGCCCAGGGGCCGGGCGGCGCCGGCGAGTTGGAGAGGAACTGGCCGAGATGGACCGACGAGAACTGGGTAGCGGTGATGCTTGGCGGGGCGAGCATGGCGTAGTTGACAGACGAGTATTTGTCGACCTTCTCCTTGATGGGCAGAGTGGCGAGCGCTTCCTCGGCCTGCTTGTTGATGGCGTCAACAATGGCCGACTTGAGCGAGGACTGGACCGAGGACTTGACCGAGCCCTTGAAGAGGCCGACGAGCCAGTTGTAGAGCCACGAGGCACCTCCATGGACCTTGATGTGGAACGAGCCAATGTCGACCTCTGAAGCATCAACAGCAACCGTGGGTCGACCCGAGGCCTCACCGATGGCAACGGTGACGGAGATGGTAGTCTTGGAGACGTCGACACTCGCCGAGCCATGATCGGAGATGTGCGGCCAAGAGTGCTCACGGTAATGCCAATTGAGGCTCACATCACACACAGCAGCCGAGACACCGACTTGAATGCCGGTACCTGGCTTGAGCTGAAGGATCGAGTCTGGCAGAGCCAAGTTGGTAATGGCAATGTTCGAGAGAGTGTAGTCGACGTGTCCCACGGGTGTGCCTGCCGAGCCAGAAATGGTTGGCACGGAAATGGTTTTGAGCTCAGCGAGAATGAGCTCAATGCCCACGTCTTTGATGTACGTCAGGCCTTTTTGAGAGAGGGAGACCGCCACACCAGCACCTCCACCACTTGCCACCTTGTCGGTCATGCTACGCCTGCCCGTCATGGTTGTCGTTGGCAAGGCCGTGGGCATGGCCGTCGTCGTCATCGACATAATCGCCACTGTGAGCATGACAATGCCAAGCATGGCTACAGTCGTCGCTTGCATAGTGAAAGTGTAGAAGAGTGGCGTGGTCGTTGTCGTCGCCGTTGTCGTACTCGCCGTCGGTCACGTGAGTCACCACGGTGGCGGGAGGTGAGTGACTTTTCGACGAGCGGGATCGTCTCGCGATTGCGGCGGCGCGAGTGGCGCGGGAGGTCGGCGTACTTGCCCTGCGGCACGACGAGCTCGTCGAGGTGACGGCTCGGGTCCTGTACCCGCTCAAAGAGTTCGGCAAAGTACGAGGGCACGCCGCCAAAGTAGCTGTTGAGGAACTCGATGACCTCATCGCCATCGAGAAGCTTGTTGTTGTCGGCGATGGTTTGCTCGTACGCCGAGCGGAGCCAGCACATGCCGTTGACCACCACCGTGGCGACCGGCCGAGCGGTCACACCGCTGGCTCGACAGCTTGAGATTTCCTCGCATTTACACATCGTGCCAGTTGGCACGGTCAACCGCATGTACCTGAGCGCCGTTCGATGGCTTGCGTACACACGATATCTGTGTCGACGCCATCGGAGCTCTTAGCGAGGTAAGGTGTCACCTGCCTGGCTTCGTCCAGCCAGCCGCGAGTGGTAGCAACTCGTGGCAGTCGCGGCAGCATTCGATGGCAGAGCAACGACTGACAGCGGCCGGATGGCAAATCGGCTGACGAATGAAAGGCAAGCGGTGGTGAGGCGTCGGAGAGAGCGACGACGGCCTGGCCAGCGTGGCGCACCCCACTGCGAGCATGTCGGCTACTTGTGGGCCACCTGCCGAGTGCGGTGAGTACACGTCATCGACCGAGGTGACCAACTGGGCAGAGTCGTACTCGTCGCCGTTGGCGTATCTGTTTGCGCCGAGGAGTGAGGACGAGGTGGTCGCCATCGTCACTTGGGCCGCGTCCATGGCCGAGAGCAAGCCGGGCGATGGTGAGCGGAGGAAGCCGCTGGTCAAAGCCTTTGGCGCCATTCACTCGCCCGGACCGCTGCCGCTGCCGCTGCCCAAGGACGGGGAGGAGGCCCGGGTGCGGATCGGAGTCAACATGGACGGCATCGATCGGGTTCTGGCCTACGATGGGGAGAAGCGGGTGCTGACGGTCGGCGGAGGGATGCGACTGGAGGCGCTGAATCGAGTGGCGGCGGTGCTGGGACTCGCGCTTCCGGTCCTAGGCTCGATCTCGGAGCAGTCAATTGCTGGAGCGATTGCGACTGCGACGCACGGGACGGGCGCCGAGTGGGGCTCGATCTCGGCCCAGGTCCGCGGCCTGCGGCTGGTGGACGGGACCGGGCGTGTGGTGAGTGCAAGCGCTACTGAGGCGCCTGACGTGCTTGCAGCCGGGCGGTGCCACATCGGTGCGCTGGGTATTGTGACTGCGGTCTCGCTCGAGCTGGTTCCTGCCTTCAAACTCTCGACACAGAGCTCGCTGGTGCCTGCGGCGGATGCGTTTGCGGCGCTCGATGCGCACCGGACCGCGTCGGACCACACCAAGCTTCTGTGGTACCCACACAGCGACTTGGTCAAGATTGAGTACACCGATCGGGTGTCGGTGGCTGCGGCGAGCGCGCCTGCGGCGTCCAGCTGGTTCCGCAACGTAGCGATCGGCCACCGTGCGGTCGAGTTTGGGCTCTGGCTCTCGTCGTTTGCGCGGCCGGTGGAGGCGTGGGTGGAGACGATGTTTGTGGAGGGTGTGGTGAAGCCGCAGCTTGCGCCGGCATCGGCGCCTATTGTGGACGACTCTGTGGCGCTGTTCAACATGGACTGCCTGTTCTCGCAATACGTAACCGAGTGGGCGGTGCCGCACGCGGCGGCGCGCGGAGTGCTTGAGCAGCTGCGGGAGCTTGTGCGTGGGGCGTCGTTTGCGGTCCACTTTCCGATTGAGATTAGGTTTGTGGCTCGCGACGACGAGTCGTGGCTCTCGCCGGCGTACGGCGAGGGCGTGACGTACATCGGGATCATTGTGTACCGGCCATACGGGCGCGACATTGCGCGGTCCCAGTACTGGGCAGCGTACGAGAGAATCATGCTCGCGGCTGGCGGGCGGCCACACTGGGCCAAGGCGCATCCGCTAACAGCGGCGACGCTGCGGGCGCAGTATCCCCAGCTGAACGCGTTTGAGGCGGTCCGGGCCGAGCTCGATCCACACGGCCTGTTTACGAATGCTGCGCTTGCGCAGGTCTTGCCGTCGCGGCTGTAAACACAAGCGAGGCGAGGCTAGAGCTTGGAGGAGGTGACGCGCTCAATGATGGTGCAAGTTGCCTGGCCATGGCCGATGCACATGACGACGAGGGCGTAGCGACCGGCGATGCGCTCGAGCTCGTGCACTGCCTTGGTGAGGAGGACGCAGCCCGTGGCGCCCAGCGGGTGGCCATGTGCGATGGAGCCGCCGTTGGGGTTGACACGGGCGAGGCCGTCGCGCGGGGCAAGGGCCTTGCGCCAGGCGAGAACAACCGAGGCGAATGCCTCGTTAATCTCAATGACGTCGATGTCTTCGATGGTGAGGCCGGCGGCCTTGAGCGCCTTGCGGGTGGCCGGGATGACGCCGTCGAGCATGAGCACCGGGTCGGAGCCGACAACGACGCGGGTGACGACACGGGCGCGCTTGCGAAGACCGAGCGCATCTGCGGCTGGGCCCGAGGCGAAGAGAACAGCGGCTGCGCCGTCGGAGACCTGCGAGGCGTTGCCAGCGGTGACGACACCGTCGGCCTTGAAGATGGTGCGGAGCTGAGCCATCTTGGTGCGGTCAATACTGGCGCGCACGCCCTCATCGCGGGAAAAGACAGACTCGCGACCATCTGCATCGGTGACGGTGATGGGGAAGGTCTGTGCGTTGAAATGACCGGCGGCGATGGCAGCCGAGGCGCGGGCGTGCGACATCTCGGCGAGATCGTCACATTCAGCACGAGAGACGTCGACTTTTCGGCAACCAGCTCAGCAGACTGGCCCTGGTGCACGAGCTGGTGTGGGAAGCCGTCAGCGACGAGCTCGCTGAGACCATCCATGGAGACGTCGGAGCCCATCTTTTCGACCGACATCATCTCGACGCCAGAGGCGACGACAACGTCCATGTCGCCGGATGCGATGGCCTGGGCGGCAAAATGGGCGGCCTGCTGTGACGAGCCGCACATGCGGTTGATCTGGACTCCCGGGACCGAGACCGGAAAGCCGGCCTTGAGCAAAGCGAGGCGAGGCACGTTTGCGCCCTGCTTGCCCTTGGGCGTCACCACGCCGCCGATCACGTCCTCGATATGTTCGGGCGAGACGTTGGCGCGGGAGACGAGTTCGGCGAGCGTCTGCGCCAGCAACGAGACGGGATGCATGTTGTGGAGGGCACCATTAGCCTTGCCTGTTGCCAGTCGTAGCATCAGTTCAGTCGCCGTGAGCCATCGGGTATTGCGCCACATGTCAGTTCAGTCCGCCAGGTCACCCCACGCGCATGAGTCACCACACCGCCTCCCCCCCCCCATCACCACCCGACGTACCACGGGCAATAGGCGTGCGCACAGCTTCGACAATGTACACGTCGCGTCCAGCAGTTGCAGCCATGTCTGGTAGTGATGAGCCAGGTGTTAGACGACTGCCGCGGCGGTCGCCTGCCACGTCGCACTGCAGCGGCAAGGCTCGCTTCGTCAAAAGGCCGATTGTTTGAGAGATGGACAGAATGCTACGGTTGGGCGAGGAGGTAGGTCTTGAGGGCGGGGAAGATCGGCGAGCCGAGGCCGGTGGCCGCATCCCATCCCTCGGCGGCGGGGTAGCCCCAGGCGGAGCAGCCGATCCAGAGCGATCCGGGCTGCGAGTCGAGGTTGCACGTCTGGTCGTAGTACATGGCGGTGGTGACCTGGCGGCAGTGGTTGGAGCCCTGAGTGATGTCCGAGAAGGTGCCGATGGGCGCGGCGTAGAGGTACGGGTTGAGGAAGCCGATGGACGACTTGCCGGCGGCGTACCGCGCGTCGTTGATGAGCGAAATGAGGCCGGCAAACGACGGTGATGACGCTGACGTGCCGTCGATGCCCGGCATGACCGAGCATGAGCCACTGTCAAACGCGCTGATCTCAAAGTTGTGGCCCATAAAGGCGACGTCCGGCGCCCCGCGTCCGCCCTGTGCAAAGACTGCAGCCGGCGGCAGCGCCGCCGCGTTCGCCGACAGGTACCCAGCCGCGGCCTTGGCCTGCCAGGTCGGGACCGGGTGGAACTGCGAGAAGAAGCCGGCCGAGGTGATGGCGGCGCCGGTCTCCGAAGAGCAAGTCACTTCGGTGTTCGGGCCAGTGCACTCGGGCTCGCCCGGGCAGGTGAGCATGGTCGCGCCGACCGCGGTCACGTACGGCGACGCGGCCGGGTACTGCGACTGCAGCGAGGCGTCGACTCCGAGGCCGGGGTTGACCGGCTTGCCGTACTCGTACGCGCCAATGGTGCACGTGATTCCGTTTGCCTGCCATGTCTTGGTCGGGAACTGCGAGGTTGAGCAGTTGGACGAGACCGTCGGCTGGGCGGCGGTACAGTCCGGGCCAAAGATTGAGGTCATCTCGAGCGAGCAGCCTGCCTCGGCCACAAAGGTGCCAGAGGTAAACTCGGAGATGGCGGTCGGGCAGACTTCGAGGACGATCTGGCAGATGAAGCCGCGACCCATGCCGCCGACAGGGATGGCACATGTAAATGACTCGGTCGAGCCCGAGTCCGACGGCGCCGACGCGGTGACCGACAGCTGGTTGACGACGCCGTCAGCGTAGCCGGTCTGGTACGGCAGGTTCGACGAGTCGCCGGCAGCGCCGTCGTCGCCGGTCGCAACCATGACAGTCCACCCGCGGACGCCAAACTTGACAAACTCGGCATCGACGGCGGCAATGTACTTGGCCGAGTCGTAGCCAAACGACGGGCAGTACTGGGTGATGTTCGCCAGGTCGGCATCGCACTGCCACACCTCGGGCAGGCCGTACGAGAGTGAGAAGACCTGCGGCGTCGACGAGCTGGGTCCGTCCTGTCCAGTCACCTCGTACACCCAGTTGAGCATCCACTCTTGCTGGTGCTGCTCGTCAATGTCCGAGTTCCACACCCAGGTCTCGATCCCGGCCCCAATCGACGTCATGTAGTCGACGTCGAGGTCGGCCTCCAGCTGGCCGGCTGCGCACGTCTCATTGGGTGCAATGCCCCAGCAGTTGTAGCCCTTGGACTGCGCAATCTTGCCGTACGTCGCGTTGTCAAAGGTCTCGACAAACTGAGCTAGGCACTCGGGGTTGTAGAACGAGCCAAACGAGCCGATGCACTGCTTAGCCATTGTCGCCACCGGTGTGTAGTCGATGCCATAGAAGTCGCGCAGCAGCGCAGGCGTCACCTGCGTGTATCGGCCCTTGTACTGCGACTTGCTGCCGCTCGTTGCGACTGTGTCCGCCCCGGTCGTCGCCTTCTGGCCCGCCCGCTGCGGATGCGAAAAATGGAAGACCTCAGCGAGGCCCGAGACAAGGGCCACGTGCGGCGCAAGCGCCGCAGGCACATGCGCCGACGATGTGATCGCCAGCTGCGTCGGCGCCGCCTCACCGAGCGCCTTCTTGTCCGCCACCGACATCCAAACGCCCATCTTGGTCCGGAACATCCGCTCGACGGTACTCACCGAAGCCGTGATTTTGAGCGTGTCCGAGCGGACCTCGACGGCGACCGGGAACTCGGCGAGCCAGGCCATGACGGCCTCGGCGGCACCGGCCCGAGCCGCAAACAGCGCCTCGGTGGCCTCAAAGTCGAGATGCTGGCCAGCACGCGGCGAGCCAGGGCTCGACACCGCCAGCAGCTCTGCCTCCAGCTCCTCCATGGTTTTTTCACGCACTAAATGCACGCGGAACGTGACCCGAGTCTCGCCACCGGCATCGCCTACAAGCACAAAGCCCAGCGGAGCGACCTCCCGCTTGGCCACCGCCACCCTGTCGCCGTTGTACCCCGTCGTCGTCGTCGCCATGCACATACCCACCAAGCAGATCAGGCCCAGAAGACCAAGCCCAATACCCTTGTTCATAGTATACCTTGTCGAAGAGGTCTGTCTGTCCAGGAATGGTCCTCTGCACGGGGCATGCTCACTCGCTTGTGCTGGTGGCTGCAGCGAGCGGGGGGAGGGGTGAGTGGTGAAAGCGCCGTCGCATGACTAATGATGTCTTTCTTTGGGTTTGAGGGGGGGGGCAAGCAAAGAATGTGTGGGTCATGCGGTCACAGGTCCTCCCTCTCCCTGCGCCTCCTCCCCCTTCCCCCCTCCACCGCGTCGCGTGTCGTGGCTAGCCTTGGCCTGTTGCCATTTCCTGCCCATTGACCAGCTCCAACTCCACCCTCACCACCTGCACCTCACTTCCACTCTCTTTCTACATCACATCCGTACGTTGTGGAGCCATTCTGCGGTTGTCTTTGTTTTCCTTGCGCCCACTGTTGGTGGCTGTACCGACGGGTGGCGGTGGTGTCGATGGCCGCCTCTCGTGCTGCCGGCCCCGCCTGGCACGGTGGACGACAACGCTGGCTACTGCGTCGAGCAGGGACATGCTGGTGCACCATGGCCACGGGCATGTTTGCGGGGATATGCACTAGCCAGGATTGTGTATTTGGTTGATGTTGGCCGCGCGAGCTGGCATCTGGCGAGCTCTGCACGAGGGCTGGGCTTGGGAGTGGAGGCTGGCGGGGCTAATTTTTGGCTACCGGCGTGGCAGGAAGCTGACCTGGTGGCTCCTGCGGACAAGCCGTGTCATCGGGTGCGACTTACCGAGTTGGAGTTGGGGGACGACGATAGGTGGAGAGGCATGGCGGCTGTATCGGCGTCGTCATCGACGGGGCCTGGACTCGATCCGGAGCATGACCCGAGCCTGTGGCAGGAGCTGACAACCGAGGACGGGCTGGTGTACTACTACAATGCTGGGCTTGACATTACCCAAGAGGACAAGCCGGCGTGCTTGCGGACCGATGGCGACGAGGCGTTTGATGGCGCGTGGGCATGGGTGCCTGATGAGCAGGAAGGCTACGTCGCCGGGCGGGTTATCGAGACCAATGCTAACGACGAGCCGGCGGTCATCGAGCTCATCGACGGCGGTACTCGCCGTGTACCCAAGAAGGACCAGGGCTCGACATTTACCCTCTCACCGGGCTCGCTCCGCAAGAACCGTGACGACCTTGTGCAGATGGGCGAGATCGACGAGGGCATCATTCTCCACAACCTCAAGAAGCGGTTCATGGAGGATACCATTTACACCAACATCGGGCCGATTCTCATCATCGTCAACCCGTACCGGTGGATGAAGCTCTACACCGAAGAGATCATGGAGAAGGTTCGCAACCGCGGCATCCAGATGCTCAAGCCGCACATCTTCAACATTGCCGACGACGCTTTCCGGCAGTTGTCGGAGAAGATGGCGTCGGGCGAGAATCCGAATCAGTCGATCCTCATTTCAGGCGAGTCGGGTGCCGGCAAGACCGAGGCGACCAAGCAGGCGCTCAAGTACCTTGCGCACTGCGCCGGGTCGGGCGAGACCTCGGGCGTGGAGCAGAAGCTGCTTGCGGCGAACCCGCTGCTGGAGGCGTTTGGCAACGCGGCGACGCTGCGGAACCACAACTCGTCGCGGTTTGGCAAGTGGATGGAGGTGTTTTTTGACTCACGGCGGCGGATTGTGGGCGCCAAGATCAACAACTACCTGCTGGAAAAGTCGCGTGTCTCGCACCAGATCGGCGGCGAGCGCAACTTCCACATTTTCTACCAGCTCTGCCAGGCGCGCGAGATTGCGGAGATGTACTCGCTGGGGCGGGCAGAGGAGTATGCGTTTGTGCGCGGGCGGACGGTCATCGACGACGCGCACTTTTCAGATGCCAAGGACTTTGCCGAGGTGCTGGAGGCGATGGACATGTTCAACATCAAGGAGGGTGCGGACCGGCAGTCGATTTTCCGGTTGGTGGCGGGTATTCTCCACTTTGGCAACCTTGAGTTTGCTCGCGATGACTCGGGCGAGGGCTCGCGCATTCGCAACCCCGAAACGCTCGCGGTCGCAGCCAGCATGTTCTGTGTGCCAGAGGCTGCGCTCGAGCGTGCGGTCTTGTTCCGGACGCTGACGTTCAAGCGGCAGGATGACGTCATTGTGCCGCTTACGCCAGAGCAGGCAGCCGACAACCGCAACGCACTGGCACGAACGCTGTACAACTCGATGTTCAACTGGCTGGTGGTGCGGGTCAACCAGGTGCTTGCGCCCAAGGGCGGAGTCGGCGGCCTCAACCTCATCGGGATCCTGGACATTTTCGGGTTTGAGATTTTCCAGAACAACTCGTTCGAGCAGCTCTGCATCAACTACGCTAACGAGAAGCTGCAGCAGCACTTTAACCAGCACACGTTCAAGATGGAGCAGCAGCTGTACATGGACGAGGGCATCAACTTTGAGGAAGTCAAGTTTGTGGACAACCAGCCGTGCCTGGACCTGCTCGAGCGTAAGCCGCACGGCATCCTCATCATGCTTGACGAGGAGCTGCTCGCGCCGTCGGGTTCTGACGATCGGTTCCTAGACAAGCTCAACTCACGGCACTCGAAGAAGACGGAGCGGTTCTCGATGGCGTTCCGGACGCCCAACACGTTCAACGTGGAGCACTACGCTGGACAGGTGACGTACGACGTGCGCGGGTTTCTGGAGAAGAACAAGGACACGATTGAGAAGGATCTGCTGACGCTTGTGCACGCGTCGACAGACCAGTTCATCCAGCACTTGTTTGAGTCTGTGGGCGCCGACTCCAAGTCGCGAAAGCAGAGTACGGCGTTCCAGTTCCGGACGCAGCTCGGGTCGCTGATGAAAGAGCTTCAGGCGACGACGCCGCATTATGTGCGGTGCATCAAGCCGAACTCGGTGTTCAAGCCGCGGATCTGGAGCGGGCGCGACTCGCTGCTCCAGCTGCGGTACTCGGGAGTGTTTGAGGCTGTCCGCATCCGGCAGACCGGGTTCCCGTTCCGGTACAGCCACGCCGAGTTTATCCGGCGGTACGGGGTGTTCAACTCGTGGGCGCGCAAGTCGAGCGAGGCTGCGACGTGCAAGGACATTCTGGAGAGCGTGCGCGGCGACTTTTCCGAGGTGCAGATCGGACGGACGCGCGTGCTGTACCGGGCCAAGATGCACCGTGCGCTCGAGGTGCGACTGTCGATCATTCTGCATCGGATGGCGACCAAGGCGCAGGCCGCGTTCCGTGGATTCCGGGCACGCAAGCTGTTTGCGCAGATGAAGAAGGTGGACGCGGCGATGCGTGCGGCGATGGCAACGCTGGACGTGGACACGCTCCGTGCAGCGATTTCCGAAGCACGTGCGATGTGGTTCCAACTCGGGGTGACAGACGAGGCGGAGCGGCTGTGCGCGCGGCTTGAGGAGGAGCGCGGGCTGAACGCGGCGATGGAGCGGCTGCGGACTGCTGGTGACCCAGAGGGCAACTACGAGGAGATTTTCCGGGTCATCTCGCGGGCCGAGGAGCTTGGGGTGGTCAACCCAGACATTGCGGTTCTGCGCGAGTCGATCCGGTCGATCCACGAGCGCAAGCAGGCGGTGAAGGACCTGGAAGAGGGCGCACGTGAGTTTGACAAGAAGCGGCTCGAGGCCGGGCTGGAGGCTGTTTCACGGCTCGGCATCTCGTGCGCCGGCGCGGTAGCGACGGCACAGCGCGTGCTGGACCTCATCCTCTCTGAGGAGTCGCTGGTCTCGCGGTGCTCGGCCGCGCTGTACTCTGCTCAGGATGATCTGCAGGGTCTGCAAGAGGCGCTCTCTGAGGTGTCGGCGTTCCAGATCCGGACCGAGGCCGGCAAGCTGCTACGGTCGAAGCTGTCGGCTACGGTCGGCATCCGTGTGGCGATTCGTGACCAGGACTGGGATGGGCTGCGATCTGCAGTGGATGCGGCGCTCGCACTGGGGCTTGCCGGTATGCCAGATGTTGTGGCGGCGGAGGAGGGCCTCGCGCTGAGGGCGCGGATGGCAGAGGTGGGATCCGCGCTGGTGGCTGAGGTTCCGCGCAAGGTGCTCCCGGCGCTCCTTGCGGTGCTGGCGCAAGCGCGCGAGCTGGAGATGGGTAGCTCGCTGTACTCGTCGTGGCGCGACGAGGTGGCGGGCGCAGAGGCGCAGGCGGCCGCGCATGCGGCGTTGCTGGAGGATTTGCGGACGCAGCTCAAGCCACTGGAACGGACAGTGACGCCGGCGCGGGCGGTGCTGGAGCTCAAGACACAGATTGGCGTTGCAGACGAGTTCGGGCTTGTGGCGCAGGACGACCTGGCGCTTGTTGAGGCGGCGCGGACGCTGCTCGCTGTTCGCGAAGGGGTGTCTGGGAAGGAGTGGCGGAAGCTGGAGAACGCCGTGGCGTCTGCTGCGCGGCAGCCGAGCATTGCGGACCACCCGGAGGTTGCGGCGGGCAAGGAAGGTCTTGCGCTGCGGGCCAAGATGCTCGGCGTGGCCGGGCAGCTCTCGACGCAGATGTCGGCGCGTGCGATGCAGGGTCTGGCGCAGGCGCTCGAGGACGCGGAGGCGCTTGACATGAAGACCTCGTACTGGTCGACGTGGGAGGACGTGGTTGTGGCCGGAGAGGTGCAGCTGGCGCAGCACAAGCGGATTGTCAAGAACCTCAAGGCTTGCACGGGACCTGGGACTCAGCTGCAGATCGATTCGCTGGAGGCAGCGCTTGCTGACGCGCGCGCGTTTGGCCTGCGGCAGCCTGCAGACACGGCGCTTGTCTCGCTCGGCACGCTCCTCCTGGAGCTGCGGCGCGCACTGGCGGCGCGCGACTGGGCGGTGTTGGGCCAGTGCGTGGCGCGTGCGGCGTCGTCGGGAATCTCAGCGCCGGAAGTGGCACAGGTCAAGGCCGGCCTCGAGCTGCGGGAGCAGATGCACGAGGTTGCATCGCGACTGAGCGTGGCCAAGGCGAAGCACGACTCTGAGGCGCTGCGCGACGCGATGGGCACAGCAGTGCGGCTGGAGATGGAGGACTCGATGTGGTCGACGTGGAGCGAGCTTGTTGTGGCGTGCGAGAACCAGCTCCGGCGGCATCTGGAGCTGCTGCGTGCGCTGCGTGCGACGCTCGCACCCGGCACCTCGAAGCTCATTGACCAGCTGCAGTCTGTGCTCAACAATGTGGCGGCGTTTGGGTTCAAGACCCGTGACGACTGCGTGCTCGAGGAGCAGGGCCGGATTACGCTCTCGCTCCGCAAGGCGATTGCGGCGCGGGCATGGGACGACATTGCCGGCGCGCTGGCGTCTGCCGCAGCGGCCGGCTACACCTCGACCGAGGTCTCTGCCGCCAACTCCGGCCTGGAGCTGCGGGCTAAGATGGAGGTGGTGGCGACCAAGCTGAGCAAGGCGGCTGCGGCGCATGATGCCAAGGCGATGGCGGCTGGTCTGGGCGAGGCCGACACGCTGGAGATGGCTACGTCATACTGGTCGACGTGGTCCGAACTGCTGGAAAGGTGGAGCGGCAGCTGGTTACCCACCGGGCTGTTGTGGCGTCGCTCAAGGAGACGACGGCACCAGGCACGTCCAAGCTTGTTGAGCCGCTACAGGACGCGATCGAGGCTGCGACCGAGTACGGGCTGTGGACGGACTTGGACGCAGACTTGCTCCGCGGAGCGGAGATCACGCTGCAGGCACGGATTGGGTTTGCGTCGCGCGATTGGGAAGCTGTCCGCAAGGCGACGCAAGCTGCGTTTGTGGCCGGGCACGAGACCTCTGAGCTCCGCGAGCTTGCCGAGGGACTCAAGCTCCGGGCGAAGATGTCTGGTGTGGCCGAGGCGCTACGCCGTGCGATGGAGGCACACGACGCGGTGGCGCTGGACGCGGCGCTGCTGGACGCGTCGGGCCTGCGGATGGAGAGTTCAGCGTGGTCGACGTGGCAGGAGCTGATGGAGAAGGCGCGGGCGCAGCGAACGCAGCACGCGGATTTGCTCAGCGACTTGCGGCACTGGCTATCGGCTGGCAAGGAACGTGCGATCGAGCCGCTGGCCGACGCGCTTGCAGCCGGAGTGCAGTACGGTTTCTGTGTGGCAGAGGACGTGCAGGTGCTTAACGAGGCCAAGCTCGTTCTCCAAATCCGCAAGGGCTTCGATGCCAAGGACTACACGTCTGTGCGGTCGCAGGTGCGGCGGGCAACGCAGCTTGGACTCGCCAGCTCGCGCGAAATCGCGGCAGCGGCGCAAGTGCTTGAGGCGCGGTCGCAGATGGAGGCGACTGCTCGCAAGCTCAAGGCCGCGGCAGCGGCGCACGACGCGCCGGCGTTGAGGGCGGCACTTGTGGAGGCGCGCGGGTGCGAAATGGGTACATCGCCGCACTCGTCATGGGTCTCGGAGGTGGTGGAGGCCAAAGAGCTGCTGTCGAAGCATCGGTCGCTGCTTGTGCGGCTCCGAGTGGCGGCGGCACCCAAGTCGCGTAACCTGATTGGGCCGCTTGCGGCGGCGCTGCAAGAGGCGATCGACTTTGGGCTGTGGACACCTGCGGACGCAGGAGTGCAGCAAAACGCATCGATTGTGCTCCGTGCGCGACAGGCTCTCGACGCGCAGTCGTGGCAGGGTCTCAAGGCCGCGCTTGACTCTGCGCTAGTGGCGCAGCTGGACAACGAGGAGATCCGGTGGTACCGCGAGGGCCTTGCGCTGCGGCACAAGATGAGCGCAGTGGCCGAGTCGCTGGAGCGCGCTGTGCGCAGCCGCGACGTCGACGCACTGGTGGCTGGTGTGGAGGAGGCGACGACCCGCGAGGTGGACATGATCTCGTCGCCGTGGTCGTCGTGGTCGCCGCTGGTCGACTCTGCAGCGGAGCTGGCGGAGGAGGGCAAGTCGCTGCGGACGAGGCTGCGGTCGTCGCTGGAGCCGCCGGCCGAGGTGGGTGATGCCAGCGCAGCCGAGGCGGCGCACCTTGCGCTGCTGGATGCTGCCGACGAGTACGGGTTTACGCTCGGCGACGACCTCGAGCTTGTGCGGCAGTCGCGGCTGTACCACCAGGTCCGTGTTGCGCTTCGTAGCTCCGACTGGAGCCGGCTCGAAGCCACGCTCCGGTCTGCGCTCAGCTTTGGAATGGAGAGCCCGGAACTTGCAGCGGCGGCAGAGGCTGTGCATCTTGCACGGCAGCGTGCCGAGATGGCAGCGCTGCTCAAGTCGGCAATGCAAGACGTGTACAACTACGAGCGCAACGTGCTCGGGATGGCACTGGAGCAGGCGGAGCCGCTGCGGCTGCACGAGTCCGAGTACGCGCTGCTAGAGCAGGAGGCGAAGAAGCTGGCGGCACAGATCGAGACAGTGCGCGGCTCGCTGGAGAGCGGGACTGCCAATGTGGATGCTGCGGAGCTGAGCGTTGCGCTGGAGCTCGCGGCCGACATCGGGTACGAGACGGTGCAGGTGGCATCTGCACGTGTGCTCCTCCACGAGATCCAGTCGATTGTGGACGGAGCGTCTGTGGCGCTTTCGACCCGCGACGTCAAGGTGCTGCAGCAGCTGCTGCGGCGGGCCAAGATGATCAATCTTCGGGCGCCGCCGATTCCGGAGATCGAGATGAAGCTGCCTTTGTTTGTGTACTCGGAAGGTGACAAGCAGGTGAAGGACTTTGAGCGGCTGCGCGACGCTGAGAGCTTTGCGTCAAAGAAGTGGTTCGGACGGAGCTCGGCAGCGCAGAGCATGCTCATGTGGTCGGGCTCGCCGCTGCCCAACTCGCTGACGCAGCTCGACTCGGCCGGTGAAGTCAAGATTGCGTTGCAGGCGTTCACCAATTTGCTGGCGTACATGGGCGACCGCAAGTCCGGTGGGGTGTTCTCGTCCAAGAAGGCCGGCGGTGAGAAGCCGATGCGGTTCCTCGTCGAGCTCGGACGCGGCAACTCGGGCTCGCCGCTCGCAGATGAGCTCTACGTCCAGCTTGTCAAGCAGCTGAGCGAGAACCCGCATGTAGAGTCGGAGGCCTTTGGCTGGCGGCTCATGGAGGCGTACGTTCAGACCTTCCTCCCCTCGGCCGCCTTTTTCGTCTACCTCGAGTGGTTCCTCATCAACCAGCCCGTGGTCGACGGCCGCCCCGGGGCCGCACAGTACGTTGCCTGGCTCCGCGGGACGCGTGCCGAAGGCGCCGCTGGTGCCGCCAGCGCGTCGAGTGCGTGAGGATATTGCCTGATAAAGTGATCAAAGCTTTGCCGTTGCGGGCACAGCTGTTGTTGGGAGCGGTGGCAGGAGCGGTGGCTGCGCCAGTGCCTGCCACTCCACTTTCGTCGACTTGCGTGAGCAAGGAACGAGCAGCTGGAGCAAGCGAGCGAGCGAGCGAGCGAGGGCACGACACAGCAGGCTTGGTCTGTGACGTTGGTACTGACTGTGTGATTGAAAGAAGACACCATTTTGTACACGTTGTAGGTGTGCGTATGTCTGCGTTGGCAAGTCGGTCCGGAGTGAGCGAGGCCGAAGCAGCCGAGCTGGCGCGTGACCCGAGCCTGTGGCAGGAGCTGACAACCGAGGACGGGCATGTGTACTACTACCATGCGGTGTTGGACGTAACCGACGAGGACAAACCGCGGTGTCTCCGCGGCGGCGACGAAGATGGTTATGACGGCGCAGAGTGGGTCTGGGTCCCCGACGAGGTCGATGGCTACAAGGCCGGCAGAGTCCGTGGCTCGGACCCGGCGACAGGCCTGCCGCTCGAGGTCGACATTCTCGATGGTGAGCTTGTGGTTGTCCGCAAGAAGGACCGTGCTCGGTGCTTGCCACTCTCGCCGGGCTCGCTCCGCAAGAACCGTGACGACCTTGTGCAGATGGGCGAGATCGACGAGGGCATCATTCTCCACAACCTCAAGAAGCGGTTCATGGAGGATACCATTTACACCAACATCGGGCCGATTCTCATCATCGTCAACCCGTACCGGTGGATGAAGCTCTACACCGAAGAGATCATGGAGAAGGTTCGCAACCGCGGCATCCAGATGCTCAAGCCGCACATCTTCAACATTGCCGACGACGCTTTCCGGCAGTTGTCGGAGAAGATGGCGTCGGGCGAGAATCCGAATCAGTCGATCCTCATTTCAGGCGAGTCGGGTGCCGGCAAGACCGAGGCGACCAAGCAGGCGCTCAAGTACCTTGCGCACTGCGCCGGGTCGGGCGAGACTTCGGGTGTGGAGCAGAAGCTGCTTGCGGCGAACCCGCTGCTGGAGGCGTTTGGCAACGCGGCGACGCTGCGGAACCACAACTCGTCGCGGTTTGGCAAGTGGATGGAGGTGTTTTTTGACTCGCGGCGGCGGATTGTGGGCGCCAAGATCAACAACTACCTGCTGGAAAAGTCGCGTGTCTCGCACCAGATCGGCGGCGAGCGCAACTTCCACATTTTCTACCAGCTCTGCCAGGCGCGCGAGATTGCGGAGATGTACTCGCTGGGGCGGGCAGAGGAGTATGCGTTTGTGCGCGGGCGGACGGTCATCGACGACGCGCACTTTTCAGATGCCAAGGACTTTGCCGAGGTGCTGGAGGCGATGGACATGTTCAACATCAAGGAGGGCGCGGACCGGCAGTCGATTTTCCGGTTGGTGGCGGGTATTCTCCACTTTGGCAACCTTGAGTTTGCTCGCGATGACTCGGGCGAGGGCTCGCGCATCCGCAACCCCGAAACGCTCGCGGTCGCAGCCAGCATGTTCTGTGTGCCAGAGGCTGCGCTCGAGCGTGCGGTCTTGTTCCGGACGCTGACGTTCAAGCGGCAGGATGACGTCATTGTGCCGCTTACGCCAGAGCAGGCAGCCGACAACCGCAACGCACTGGCACGAACGCTGTACAACTCGATGTTCAACTGGCTGGTGGTGCGGGTCAACCAGGTGCTTGCGCCCAAGGGCGGAGTCGGCGGCCTCAACCTCATCGGGATCCTGGACATTTTCGGGTTTGAGATTTTCCAGAACAACTCGTTCGAGCAGCTCTGCATCAACTACGCTAACGAGAAGCTGCAGCAGCACTTTAACCAGCACACGTTCAAGATGGAGCAGCAGCTGTACATGGACGAGGGCATCAACTTTGAGGAAGTCAAGTTTGTGGACAACCAGCCGTGCCTGGACCTGCTCGAGCGTAAGCCGCACGGCATCCTCATCATGCTTGACGAGGAGCTGCTCGCGCCGTCGGGTTCTGACGATCGGTTCCTAGACAAGCTCAACTCACGGCACTCGAAGAAGACGGAGCGGTTCTCGATGGCGTTCCGGACGCCCAACACGTTCAACGTGGAGCACTACGCTGGACAGGTGACGTACGACGTGCGCGGGTTTCTGGAGAAGAACAAGGACACGATCGAGAAGGATCTGCTGACGCTTGTGCACGCGTCGACAGACCAGTTCATCCAGCACTTGTTTGAGTCTGTGGGCGCCGATTCCAAGTCGCGAAAGCAGAGTACAGCGTTCCAGTTCCGGACGCAGCTCGGGTCGCTGATGAAGGAGCTCCAGGCGACGACGCCGCATTATGTGCGGTGCATCAAGCCGAACTCGGTGTTCAAGCCGCGGATCTGGAGCGGGCGCGACTCGCTGCTCCAGCTGCGGTACTCGGGAGTGTTTGAGGCTGTCCGCATCCGGCAGACCGGGTTCCCGTTCCGGTACAGCCACGCCGAGTTTATCCGGCGGTACGGGGTGTTCAACTCGTGGGCGCGCAAGTCGAGCGAGGCTGCGACGTGCAAGGACATTCTGGAGAGCGTGCGCGGCGACTTTTCCGAGGTGCAGATCGGACGGACGCGCGTGCTGTACCGGGCCAAGATGCACCGTGCGCTCGAGGTGCGACTGTCGATCATTCTGCATCGGATGGCGACCAAGGCGCAGGCCGCGTTCCGTGGATTCCGGGCACGCAAGCTGTTTGCGCAGATGAAGAAGGTGGACGCGGCGATGCGTGCGGCGATGGCAACGCTGGACGTGGACACGCTCCGTGCAGCGATTTCCGAAGCACGTGCGATGTGGTTCCAACTCGGGGTGACAGACGAGGCGGAGCGGCTGTGCGCGCGGCTTGAGGAGGAGCGCGGGCTGAACGCGGCGATGGAGCGGCTGCGGACTGCTGGTGACCCAGAGGGCAACTACGAGGAGATTTTCCGGGTCATCTCGCGGGCCGAGGAGCTTGGGGTGGTCAACCCGGACATTGCGGTTCTGCGCGAGTCGATCCGGTCGATCCACGAGCGCAAGCAGGCAATTGTTCAACTTCGGCGCGGGATCAGCGAGTACTCGCGGGCCGACCTTGAGGCTGGGCTGGCGGCTGTGGCGCGGCTGGGGCTGAGTGCCCAGGAGCTTGTGGCGGCTGGACATGCAGCGCTGGAGCAGCTGAGGGCGGAAGAGGGTTTTGTGACGCTGGCGCAAGCGGCGCTCTCTGCCGGCCAAGCGAATGTAGGTGGAGTGCGGGATGCGCTGGAGGCTGGGCGGCGGATGGTGCTACGTACGAAGGGTGGCAAAGCGCTGATGGCAAAGCTGGAGGCTGTGCTTGCGGTGCGCGAAGCGCTTGTAGCGCGCGAATGGGAAGCGCTCCGGCGGGCTGTCGAGGCTGCACTGACGATGGGTCTTGGCGAGCTGGGGGACGTGGTTGCGGCACGCGAGGGGCTTGCGCTGCGTGAGCGAATGTCGGGCGTGGCGCGAGAGTTGAGCGCGGCGCAGGCGTCCAAAGTGCTGCTGACGCTGGAGGTGGCGCTAGCTCGTGCGCGTGAGCTGGAGATGGGCAGCTCGCTGTACTCGTCGTGGCGCGACGAGGTGGCGGATGCGGAGGCACAGGCAGCAGAGCATGCGTCGCTGGTCGGCGCGCTTGAGTCTTACACGGCGAGCAGCTCATCTTCTGTGGTAGGCCCACTGGAAGCAACGCTTCGTGCTGGCAAGGCGTTTGGATTTGTTGCGACGAGTGACGTAGAGCTGATGCAGCGCGGCGAGCTTCTGCTGCAGCTGCGGCGGCATCGCAGTGCACGCGAGTTTGAGGCGCTAGGCACCCTCATGGAGACGATCGAAGCGGCCGCAAACAGGGTGCAGCTCTGGAATGTCCACGACGAGGTGGCCGACGTTGTGGCTGGGCTTGAGCTTCGCGCGTCGATGGCGGCGCACGCCGACACGATTGCGGAGGCTGTTGCTGGACGCGATGCCGACGCGCTGCATGCTGCGCTTGTGGCCGCGGACGATGGCGAGCCGCTGCTGATGTCGACGTCTTTCTGGTCGTCCTGGGTCGACGAGGTTGCAAGCGGTGCGAGTTTCTTGGAGCAGCTCCGGGCGGTACTGCGGGGCTGGAAGCGGCGAGCTTGCCTGCGGGCGACATGGCCAAGTTTGAGAGCTCTGTCTCGGACGTAGCGCTGGGCATGGAGGCTGCCGTGAAGTCCGGACGCAAGCTTGGGCTAGTGCGCGAGGTCGACGTGGCGCTCCTCGAGTTTGTGGAGGAGCTGCTTGCACTGCGTCGTGGATTGTTTGACCGCAAGTGGGCGAGCATGCAGGCGAGCGTGCGGCGGGCAAGCGAGCTCGGGTTCGGCGAGCATAGTGATGTGAGCTACGTGCGCGACGGGCTGCGGCTGCGGGCCAAGATGAGCGGCGTGGCACAGCGACTGGAGGCTGCGACGCGGGTGGCCGATGCCGACGTGCTGGTGGACGAGCTCAACATGGCGGCGTCACTCAAGATGAGCTCGTCGTACTGGTCCAGCTGGCAGGATGTGGTGAGCCGCGGGCAGGAAAAGCTCGCTGCGCACCGCGCAGTGGTGGCAGAGCTCGATGAGGCGCTTAACGTGTGGCACGACGGCGACGTGGCGGCAGCGACGTCGGCGGTGGCGGCGGGCGAGGCGTTCGGGTTTGGGATGCCGGACGATGTGGCACGGCTGGCGCTGGCACGCGATGTGCTCAAGGTCCGCCATGCTGTAGCAAGCGGGTCGTGGCAGGAGCTTGAGGGCTTGAGCGGACCGCATGCGGAGCTGGAGCGCGCGCAGCAGATAGTGGCGGATCGTCGTGCGATGGCTGCGCTCGTGCCTACGCTCGAGCAGGCAGCGGCCGGCCGCAATGCGGCCGACCTTGCGGCAGCAATCCATGCCGGGCGCAAGCTGAAGATGGACACTGCAGAGTATTCCTCGTGGCATGCAGAGATGGCGGCGGCCAAGACTGCGCTAACAACGCACCGTGCTATTCTTGCCAGGCTTCGGAGCGCGAGTGCGGCGCGTGCGTCACTGCGGTCAGAGGGGCTAGCGGTTGCAGTGGCCGCTGCAGAGGCGCTCGGGTTGCGAAAGGCGAGCGAAGTGGCAGAGCTGGAGCGCGCACAGGTAGCGCTGCGGCTCCGTGTGGCCGAGTCGAGTGAGTCGTGGGACGAGCTCGCGAGTGCGTTGGACTCTGCGCTTGTGGTGCAGCTGGAGAACGAGGAGACGAAGCGTGCGCGTGCCGGGCTTGCGCGGCTGCGGCGGATCGACAAGCTTGCAGAGAAGATGGAAGCGGCGATGATGATGCGGCACACTGGAGTTCTTGCGCTCTGCCTGACTGTTGCGGCGGAGGAAGACATGGAGTGGAGCAGCTGGTCGCGGTGGCGGGGGCTTGTGGGTGAGGCGCGGGCTGTGCAGGCGCGGTCGGCGGAGCTGCGTGAGCAGCTGCGAGAGACGCTGGAGGTACCGAGCGGGACGAGCGGGCGGTCTGCGGCGTTTCTGGGCGCGCATGCTCGTGTACTCGACGAGGCGGCCGACTTTGGGTTTGAGCTCAAGGAGGACGTGGACCTGTTTGCCAGCTCGAAGATTGTGTACCTCGTGCGCGAAGCGTGGGCGAAGCAGGCGTGGGCAGAGCTTGAGCAGCACCTCAAGACGGCAGCGGCGTGTGGAGTGCAGTCGAGCGAGCTTGTTGTGGCGGTGGAGGCGCTGCACGAGTGGGCGCAGATGTCCGGGCTGGCGTCGCTGGTAGAGGCCGCGGTTGCAGACCGGGCCAACTACGCGCGCGGGACACTGCGGAGCGTGCTGGAGCAGGCACGAGGAGCCGGGCTGGAGGAGAGCACCGAGTTTGGTGAGGTGTACGCAGCGGCGGCAAGAGTGCAGGCCGAGGTGGAGGCTGTGGACGAGCTTGTGGCGAGCGGGGCGGAGGAAGGGTCTGTGGAGAAGCTCAGTTCTGCACTTGCGCGTGCAGAGGCTATCGGGTACGACGGCGGCGGACGGGTGGCGGCGGCACGCAAGCTCCGCGACGCACTTGCCGAGGCGTTTAACGAGGCCGAGCTCGGGTGCGCTGAGGGCGACGCCAAGATCCTGCAGGTTGCGGTGCGCAAGCTGAAGGCGCTGGGCGGTGAGGCCCGGCGGGTCTCTGACTACGAAGCCGAGCTCGCGATGTACCAGTACGAAGCCGGCGAGCTTGCGCTGGATGGGTACGGCGGGCTGCGAACACCGGAGGCGTTTGCGTCGACCAAGTGGTTCGGCAAGGCGGCTGCGGCTGCAGGGATGATGGAGTTTTCGGACAAGAGCCTTCCCAACTCGCTCGTGCAGCTCGGCGAGGCTGGCGAGGTGAAGACGGCTGTGGCGGCGTTTGATAAGCTGCTTGTGGTGTTTGGGCTCCGGCGCGGGTCGCGGAGCGCGGCGCTGGAAGCGCTGATGGCGTTGGGGCGGAGCGGGAGTGGGACGCTACTTGCGACAGAGCTTTGGCTGCAGGTCATCAAGCAGATGAGCGGACGAAGCGTGAGCGCGGCGGAGCGTGTGACCGGGTACGAGGTTCTGAGTGCTTACGCGGGCGCGTTTGCACCGTCGGATGACTTTGCGCCGTTCCTCGACTGGTGGCTGATGACTGCCGGGCGCGGCGGCGGCGGCGAGGCTGGGGCGCAGGTTTGCGCGTCTGTGCGCCGGGCGTTGCGTGCGCTCCGCGGCGGCGTTGGAGCGTCACGGTAAAGACCGCTTACGGTGCGCAGCGAGCGATGTGGGCTGTGAGTGCGACAGTGGACATCAGGTGCCCGCCGCAGTGCGGGCAACTCGATGATGGTGGTGGTGGTGGTGGCGGTGGGTGCCAAGGCGAGGCGCGGACCGGCTTGGGCTTTTTGGCAGGTGGCGATGAGGCAGTAGGGTTGGGCTTGCGCTTGCGCTTGCGCTTCTTCGGGTTGCGATAGTCGCTGGGCTCGCGGATCTTGACGTAAGGCCCGCCGCACGAGGCCTGATGGCGAGCCCACCAATTGTCGTTGGGTCCAGGGGCGCGATTCATGGAGCGCTTGACGATGCGGGCGCAGCGGCCCTGGCACTGCCACCAGTGAGTGCGAAAGTGGTTGACCTCGTCGTTGAACGAGTGGTAGACGGTGATGGAGAGGCCGGTGGCGGCGTTGATGCGGCGCATGTGCTGGCAGAAGATGGGCCCGTGGTCCTCACGATTAGAGACCGATGCGTCGAGGAAGAGATAGGCGTGGATCATCTCGTGAAGAAGGGTGGAGAGCAGATCGGCGCGAGAGCGGAACTGCAGCAGCTTCTCCGACAGCTTGATGGTGCAGCCACCGAGCGGGCCTCGCCACTCGCAGAGGCCTGCGCAGAGAGTCATACGCTTGGACCAGACGACCGAGACGCCCGACTCTGCCAGGCGATCCGAGAAGAAGAGGCGATCAAAGTGGAGAAAGAGGTCGTGGACGGGCGTGGCCACGTCGAGGGTCCACGATGCGACGCCCGTAGCCGTGGACGAGGCAGGAGGAGACGGAGGAGGGGATGGTGAGTGGGTCAGATCGATGATGGACATGGTGTGGGTGGAGGGGGTAGAGGCATGGGTGTGGTGGGGGGG